CTTCTCACTATACTGTACCTGGAAGGGTACCTATGTGTGACCGGAAGGTCTTGTATGCTATGATGTATATACTATATGCGGTTATGTGATATGTGTGACCGGAAGGTATTGTATGCTATGGGATGTATGTGCTATATGCGGTTACGTGATATGTATGTGTTATGTATGTTATGTATGGTAAGGACCGGAAGGTCAAGGGGTTATGGACCGGAAGGTCGATACGGGTTGGACCGGAAGGTCTACCGGGATTCGGGACGAAAGTCCCCTGAGACACATGGATCGGAAGATCCTATAGAGTGATGGCCTGGAAAGGCGTATGTGTGGTATGTGGTATTTGGGGAACTCACTAAGCATTTATGCTTACAGTTATTATGATATGTGTTTCAGGTACTAGCGAGGATCGCGGGAAGGCGCCGACATGATCCGTCACACTTATGGAGTTTATGTTATTGAGATTCTGGGACATGTTTTGTTATGACACAGTGAATACATTTTGTTTTATGATTATCGTGTGAATGAAAATACGTTTTAAAAAATGAAAAATTGTTTTGAAAAATTACGTCGTTACATCAAATTTGGCATGATTTTTTTATGGGTATTACAAGTCTAGGGTTTTCCCAACCTTTGGACACGTATGAACGCGACGAATTGTAAAGGGAAAACTTGCCAAGTTGGCCAAGGAGTTACGACCACTGACACTAGGAACTCGACGAGTCACTCAAGTAACTCGACGAGTTGGTGAGTATGCAAGGAACTCGGTGAGTGGCTGGTTGTACTCGACGAGTTGAGGTCAACATGGACTGTTGACTTTGACAGTTGACTTGAACCTTGACCAAGGGTTGACTTTTGGACTTCTGGGACATTTTGGGAAATTGGAAATTTACAAGCATGGTTCTATAGTGCATTTAGGTGGTGGAGTTGTACCGGCAATCCAAGAGCTTGAGTTTATCTTCGAGTCGACAGTGCGAGGTGAGTTATCCTCACTATACCAATAGGTCTAAGGCACCAAGGCCAACCCTTTATATATTTGTATCTGGATTATGACATGATATGTTTATTGATTACATCCTGATAGTTAGGATGGTGGTATGCTTATGCTTAGTGACCTGGTTAGGTCAGTGTCTTGGTTATAGGATGATGCTATGTTAGTGTCCGGTTAGGTCTGTATCCCGGTTATTGGGATGTTGCTATGAATAGTGATCTGTTAGATCGGTTTGACTGCTATATGATATGAGCTAGCGTATGATATTTATATGCACTTGTTTGTTTGATTGGGGGTTGGGTTGGGGCTGTCCTGCTTTGTGCTGCAGGCCAACATACCCGGTGAGCGGTCCAGATATGTTATAGGCCCTGCGAGGCGGTCCAGTCATGCCGAAGGCTCGGGAGCAGTCCAGATAGGCTGTAGGCCCTACGAGGCGGTCCAGTCAGGCTGAAGGCTCATTATGCATGCTGTTCTGTGTTTGTTATATGAAGTGGTTGTATTTGTATGGTGTTGGGATTTTGGGGGAACTCACTAAGCTTTCGGGCTTACAGTTTCAGTTTATTGTTTCAGGTACATCAGGGGATCGCGGCAAGGAGAAGGCATGATCGTACAACTCCTCATGATTTGTTTATGTTTCTGGGAAAACTCTGATATTAGATATTTTGAAAACAAACTTTGTAATGATAAATGGTTTTAAATGTTTTGAAAAAGTTTTAATTTGGCATGAAATTTTTTGGGTGTTACAGTAGATATGTAGGACTACATGTAGTACAATGTGATTATCTGTATGTGCATTAGTTGTATTATATGTTGACATATTATGTGGGATGGTTTGAGGTAAAACTGCTCCGTGCGGTAACCAACAAACCCGGGAGCATTCCAGATACGAGCTGAGGGAGACTCGTACTGTGGGCTCGATGGCAATCCAGATGTGAGTTGTGGGCCTGGAAGGCAATCCAGACTCACACTGTGGGCCCAGGGGTAATCCCGTCTGTAAAGCTGTGGACCCAGTACATGCTGTTATTTATATATGTGTTATGTGAAGTGTATCGGTATGTTGGCATTCCAACCCAATGGTTGAGGGCGTGGAGTATTCCATCCCGATGGATGATTGGACCCATAGTATGCTGTTTATGATTATTCATGTATTGTTGTGGGTATGGGTATTTTGGGATAATTCACTAAGCTTTCGGGCTTACAATTTCATTTTATTGTTTCAGGTTCAACGGATGACCGTGGGAAGGCGAGGGCGTGACCGTACACTTCCTCGATTTATGATTATGATTTCTGGGAACTCTGATGTTTAAACTATTTTGAAAACAAATTGTAATAACTGAATGGTTTTATATGATTTAAAAAGTTTTAAATTGGCTCGAATTTTATGGATGTTACATATATTGATTTATTTTGAAAACAATTTGTGAATTATACTGGTTTTGGATGACTTTTCAAACAATTTATAAACTTGGGTTGGTTTTGAAAAGTTTAAATTTTTGTGAATTTTTATAGATGTTACAACCACCAAGTTGTTGCATCCCCAAACCCATATATTCAACATCACCGGACAACCACCATCAAAGAAATTTGGGCTCTTAAGAATAAAATGGTGATGAACAACATAATCGAAGCCCATCTCCACACATAATCGAAGTTTTGACATATGGGTTCAATACACACACTGAAAAACTGAAAAAACACACACTCGAAGAAGATGAAAATGGTGTAAACCCAATTAAAGAACAATGAACTTGTATGTGTTTTCTTTCTGATTTGCAGGTCATGTTTAAGATTCCGATGGTGGACGATGAGAATGGTGATGTGAAGGGGGTGTTGGTTATTGATGAATTGTAACAAATATAAGGTTGCAAGTGGTGTATCAATGGTGAGAAGATGATGGACTGTGGGAAGAAGATGGAGTAGTTAGGTTTTTTGGTATTGGGATAAGAGAGAGCGAGGGTATTGGTAGGGGTGGAGTGAGGGTCTAATTTTCATGTTTTTTATTTTTATTTCATAAAATATTAAAATAAATATGAAAAAATACAAAAATGAAATTAAAAGGGTAAATCGGTAAATTCAAGTTCTTTTGGACAAAAATCACGAAAAATTATTTGTTTTTGAACATTCTATGCAAGTTGAAAAGTTTTTGAGCTATATCTATATTTTTTTGAATATAAATTTATAGTTTTGTCTTATTTTATTAATAATGGAAAATAAAAAAATAATAATGAAAAGTATATAATAATCTTTTTGAAAAGTACTTTATTCATAATCCAAAATCACGATATTGCAATTTTGTTATAATATTACACTCACCCTGTTTTAACTTTTAACCCCCTAATTCCCTACCCTAATCTCCGGTTCTCGACGCCGCTACTCTCTCGATTTTCTCGATCGTCCCATCTAGATTCTTAAACTATATTTTAAGGAGATATAGATATTCTTGTCCCTGAATCTACCCTAATCTCCGGTTCTCGACGCCGTCATTCTCTTGACTTTCTCCATCATCCCATCTAGATTCTTAAACTATATTTTACGGAGATATAGACATTCTTGTCTCTGAATCAACAACATATATGCTTACTTTTTTTCAAGGTCTTCTGTAAACTACACGATTAGGTAAAAATTGCAATTTGCGTCAGTAACATTCCACATTATTTGAATAGTTGTAGCGCAACAAATCATCTAAAGTCTGTTACATTGTTGATTAAAATTCCAGACCATCAGCTAACAATGGTAGAGCTTTCTGATTTTGCTACTTACATAGTGAAATTGGAATTGGATGCACCTTTCTGTTTTTGTGCTGATTTGGCAGCCTCTGTGCTTCTGTTTCATGTTTGTGTTGCTATTATGGAGAATTTTTGATTGAGTTGTGCTTGTGTGTTATGAAAAAGTTTAACTTTACTTTCTTGTACCTGCATGGAACCAACCTAGCATCCAATACTACGTACGCACACATGTTCATCGGATTTCTCCTCATTAACACTCTTTTTTTCTTTCTAAAGGGATTAAGGTTTGGATCGCTAGCAATGGATGATGTATGTGAAGGCACATCTATCTCGTTCCCGAAACAAGAAGAGAAGATCTTAAAATGGTGGACTGAAGTGAAAGCATTTGAAACCCAACTTGAAAAAACCAAACACCTGCCAGAATACATCTTCTACGATGGCCCTCCGTTTGCCACTGGTCTCCCTCACTACGGGCACATCCTTGCTGGAACAATCAAGGACATTGTCACACGATACCAGACCATGACGGGGCATCACGTCACACGGCGGTTTGGTTGGGATTGCCATGGGCTGCCGGTGGAGCATGAGATTGACATGAAGCTTGGGATTAAGAGCAGAGAGGATGTGATTAAGATGGGGATTGACAAGTATAATGAAGAGTGTAGGAGTATTGTTACTAGGTACGTTGGGGAGTGGGAGAAGGTAATTACGAGGACTGGGAGGTGGATTGATTTCAAGAATGATTACAAAACTATGGATTTGAATTTCATGGAGAGTGTTTGGTGGGTGTTTTCTCAGTTATATAAGAAAAACCTTGTCTACAGAGGGTTTAAGGTTAGCTCTTCTTCATCAAATTTATAGTGATTTCGTTTAGTATCTGGTGAACTGTGTACATTGTCGAGTCAATACTCATCATGGTATTATCAAATGTGTATTTAACAGGTGATGCCATACAGTACAGGCTGCAAGACTCCATTGTCCAATTTCGAGGCTAATTCAAACTACAAGGTTTGAATAATTCCTTTTGATTTTTTTTTTATCAGTTTCTGCTCACTTATTAGCCTTTTGAATTCTTGAGCAGGAAGTGCTTGATCCTGAAATCATGGTGACTTTTCCAATTGTTGATGATCAAGATGGTGCTGCATTTGTTGCATGGACAACCACACCATGGACGCTCCCTAGCAATCTTGCACTTTGTGTCAACTCAAGTTTTGTATATGTCAAGGTTAGCAGTGTGGAGTTGTATTTGGATTTTAAGTTAAATGAATATTAGATGTTAAAATATAAATGAAATCAGGTGAAGAACGAATCCAATGGAAAAATTTACATAGTTGCTGAATCTCGAGTATCAGAGCTTCCAGTAGAGAAGGGAAAAAAAGGAGTACCAAAAGGAGCCGTGGATGACAATTCAGCTCCCAGAACCAAGGGATCTGCCAATGGAAATGCAAAAAACTCTGTCGTTGCTTATCAAGTGCTGGATAAATTTCCAGGATCTTCACTTGTGGGTAAAAAGTGAGTGTGTAATTTGACAAATAAACTTTACTTATTGCCAACAATCTTGAAAAAACATTCAAAATTTTGGCAATGTCCTTGGGCCTTGTTTCTTTTTTTACCTAAAGAATGATGTCTATTTGAGAAAATGACGCCACACTTGGGAAAAATAAATGAGGTCAAATTTATAAAAATTGGGCTCCATTTAGTTACGGAAAGATGTGGTGTTTTCCGGAAAAATTTCCTAAGAAATATGGAAATTTTGAAAACTTTTTCAAAACTTTTCCAAGAAAATGAAAATTTTCCACTTTTTAAAATTACAAATAACTTGAAAAACTTTTGAAAATACAATAAATTTTGTTTTCCATCACACCCCATCCCAACTCGCCTACCTCCTCACACCCATCCCACACCCACAACCATCTACACCTACCCACACCTATCCCCACGCACGACCACCAAAACATGAAAAATGAACATCAATACAAAATACACATCCAAACACTTTTTCTAAATTTTCTACTGAAAATGAAAACTCATTTCATTTTTCTAAAAACAGTTTTCCATAACTAAACGGAGCCTTAACTTCTTACAAATATGAAATATGCCCTCATTTTTGAAGTTGTATTTTTGTCTCACCCAAAAAGATGGAACAAGGTCGGACATGGACTCATTCTTGATCTCTTGTATGTATTAAAGATGTGAATGGCCTCCTCATCTTCATCACCAAAAATAGTCCTAGAAATCTTACCCAGTCCTGTCATGTGTAACAAGCACAACTTAAATGGCTTTGAGAAGAAATATTTCATGTTGCGTTTATTTCACTTAAACTTGTTTACTGGCTAATTGGTTTAATTTGGTGTAAATACTGTGTTGGCAGGTATGTCCCATTATTTGATTATTTCAAAGAGTTATCAGATGTCGCGTTTAGAGTTGTTGCGGATGATTATGTCACTTCCGATAGCGGAACTGGAATTGTTCACTGTGCTCCGGCATTTGGTGAAGACGATTATCGTGTTTGTATGGAAAACCAAATAATCAATAAGGTCTGAAGTATGCTTAATTAATATGCACTGTTTCTTTCATATATATATATATATATATATATATATATATATATATCTTCAAATAACCAGATTTTACTAATTTTTTTTTTTCCTTATCCAGGGAGAAAATCTAATTATGGCAGTTGATGATGATGGCTGCTTTACTGAGAGAATTACTGATTTCAGTGGTCGATATGTCAAAGAGGCAGATAAAGATATTATTCAAGCAGTGAAGGCAAGAATAGTTGGATTTTATATAATTATAAACAGGGGCTGAGGGGAGTATTTGTACAATAATCATTCCTTACATCTTGTTATGGATGGTGCAGGACAAGGGGAGGCTGGTCAAGTCTGGAAAATTCACACATTCATATCCGTTTTGCTGGAGATCTGATACCCCTCTCATCTACAGAGCAGTTCCCAGCTGGTGCATGTTTCTTACTTATCTTCTGGTTGTCCCACCCAAAGAAGGTGGCATAGGGACTCCCTCTTGATCTGTTGTCTGTGCAAAAGACATGCATGCCCTTTTCATCGAAATTAGCCATAGAAAGCTTGCTCTGTAAGGAAGTCATATTTCCTTCATTGTTTTCTACTAACATTTTTTTTTTCTTTTTGTGTATCACACGGATTTTATATTTTCCCTTTTTTTTTATATTTTTTTTAATCTTTGTGGTTGGTTAGTGGGATAAAGTGGTAACATCATTAGTTTATTCTTATTTCTTGGTCAGGTTTGTAGCAGTAGAGAAGTTGAAAGGTCAGTTGCTCGAGAATAATGAGAAAACAAAATGGGTTCCTGCTTTTGTGAAGGTAGACGTTTATCTATCAACTATTTAATATGTTAGTGTTTGGTATGATGAAATGGAGCAGGGCATTTTTGAACGAATATGATCTCTCCCATTTCCTTAATTTTCGTTCTTTAGCTTCTAATGACATAAATTTTATTAATGTAGCTTGTAAACGACACCATTATTTTTAAAATATATCATGATTCTGATTTATTTACGATTTTATTGTTAAAATTACTTTACAAATGTTTTTAATTATAAAATCTTATTTGGGTTTTATTTAAATGCTAGTATGTACATTTTTTATGTCTTTACTTTTTGTAAATAAAACTCATTAGTAATAATGACACAACTTTTTATTATATTTTAAACACATTTCACGATTTTAGTATAGTTAGAATATTCTTATTAAATTACTAGAAAATATAGTTTTATCATAATATTAGTTGGGTTTTAGTTAGCTGTTATTATGTTAAATTTTTACCTAAAACTCATCAGTCATAATAAACGAATGTATAGAGTAGATTTAAGAACTTAAGACTGTACTTTGTATTTATAGATGACAGTTATTATGTTAAATTATTCATTTCATTCTCGTAGGCCAACCAAACGTGATCATGGAATGTAATGACTCTTTCCATTACCTTGCTTATTCAGTTACACCATGTCTCCGTTCATTAATCATTATCTTATTCCATTCCATGATAATGCAGGAAAAGCGGTTTCACAATTGGCTTGAAAATGCTAGAGACTGGGCGATTAGTCGAAGTAGGTTTTGGGGCACTCCTCTTCCTATATGGATCAGTGAGGATGGTGTGGATATTGAAGTTATTGGTTCAGTTGAAGAACTTGAAAGACTCTCTGGGAAGAAAGTAAGATACACCTCATATATTGGATCTAATATTAGTATAATACTTTTTTTTTGTTAAAATTAAATATTTACTAAGTACTCTTTCTCCTTCTCATAGGTCACCGACCTACATCGCCACAAAATTGATCACATTACTCTTCCAAGTCCACGTGGTCCAAAGTTTGGTGTGCTTCGCCGTGTAGAAGATGTAATAAATTCATATTCACTTCACAATAAAGATCCATATTCTTTTCTTGATCGATCACAAGTTTGTTAAATCATTTCAGGTGTTTGACTGCTGGTTTGAGAGTGGGTCAATGCCATATGCATATATCCACTATCCGTTTGAAAATGAGGACTTCTTCCATAAGAACTTCCCCGGACATTTTGTTGCAGAGGGGTTAGATCAAACTCGTGGATGGTCGGTTTCTTTCCCTCCTTTCTTCTAAGTCCAAGCTCTGTTTCTTTTCTTTTACTTTCTTCCAAGTCCATGGGATTTGGCTGGATCCGGAATATCATTGCTGTTCACAAATTCTTTTGAGCAATAGATTCCACCATTTTATCCTAAAACCCATGGAATTCAAGTCCATGCATTCTATCCTTGTTAAAATGTACTAAAAAAGTTTGCCCTTTTTTAAAGAGTGGTTTTAACATCTTTAGTTTACTATATATATGCCTAAAGCATTTTTCAAAAAGATAGCATTCAACCGAATATGTATAGTTTATACCTCAGAATTGTTTTAGAAAAAGCCTGTGAATAAGAAACCAGTAAAAGGATATTTCAGAGATATACTTAAGGAATGGAGTTGAATCCCTTTCCTTTACCTGCCAACAGCCAACCAAACTAAGTGACAGATCTCAATTCCTTTGATAGACTCAACTTCTTTCAAAACATTATGCGAACCCAAACTCCCCTTGGGCTTAGTTATGGGATTCATGTGATCTTAAAGAAGCTATTTGTTGTAAATATAAAGAAGATAGTTTCTAGAAGTTTTCATTCATACCTATTAGAATAGACAGAAAGCAAAAATATTATGGGAAATATCAATTTCCTATCTTTGTAAGAAAAAAGGCAGGATTTATAAAATGGTGAATGGTGCAGGTTTTACACTCTGATGGTCCTGTCGACGGCATTATTTGAGAAACCTGCATTTAGGAATCTTATCTGCAATGGTCTTGTTTTGGCTGAGGATGGGAAAAAGATGAGTAAAAGATTGAAGAACTATCCTTCTCCCATGGAAGTCATCGATAACTATGGGGCTGTAAGTAACGTATAATCATCATAATCTTCCTCTTGCATAATTATTGTGACAAAAATTTATAAATTTGTTTGTTTACAGGATGCACTACGATTATACATTATAAATTCTCCGGTAGTGCGCGCAGAACCTTTGCATTTCAAAAAGGATGGAGTATATGGTGTTGTGAGTTCTCTTTATTACCTTATCATTATTTATAACCACTCCATGGTTTTACTTCTCAGATATAAAATATTAGCCACAATTAGTTTGGCTTCTATGAGAAAGTGCATCATACAAATGTTCACAATTAATGAGAATTTACTCTAAAAACAGCTTTCTTAATCTGAGTTTTTATGGTCAAATACAGGAAATAGCAATGCACTTTCACTGATTTGTGTTTATTATAGCATTCTACTTTTGTTTTTGATACTGGTGTATCCAACAACAACGAACACTATAATGAAAATCAGGAAGCTGTTGTGGATTCAAGTTTAAACAATGGTTGTCTTACATGCTATTTCACATCTTGAGAAGCTGTTCGGTGATCCTAGTTTCAACAAAAGGATTTACCTTGGTTTAAAAAATGATGGGTTCCTTTTCGTAATTTATCTGTTTTTTTTTTTTTTTAATTTTATTATCAAATCGTATGCATATGGTATGATGTGATTTTAGAAAAAACAGTCAGTTAGTTATCTTAAAAGAAGGATGTAAACTTTCCAGCCATTTTAGCGTTAATTTAAAGCTGGGGAAAATCAATGTTAAAGAAAAGAGAAGATTGTTTCAAAAAGAAGATGCTGACTTTTGCTAAAAAAGAAGGATTACTGTTTTTGCTGGATTTTTTTCGCTGCAAATTTACTTTTTCATGATTGGCTGACATTTGTGACAAATCTGTATCTTTATGGATCTTTGATCTTGGTGGTTTGAAGTGCTCCCTTTATCTTTAATCTTGGTGGAATAATTTTCTTTATGGATCAGAGTGGCAGGTTACTGATTTCTTTGTCTTTAATCTTGGTGGATTTCATTTTCATTTATAGAAGAGTGGTGGAATTTCATATATTGTATTTTCATTTTTTATTTTAGCCCCACTAGAGTTCTTTTCCTGATTTCTTCATCCTATTACAGCATTTTACTTTGATAAATCTAGCGAACTCTAGCAATGTCATCCAAATACAAAGTGTTTTTTAGAGCTATTATTGGGTAGAATTTTCAATGTGTAATGCTCTAATAAGAAAAAAAAAGCTGAGGAAGAAATGCTATAATTTGGATATGTTTCAAAGTACAATGTCTTGCTAAGAAAAAAATTGAAAGTAAAATGCCATAATAAAATATAAGGGGATGCTATAATGCTCAAATAAATCAAAGTACATTGTTATATCTTGCATTTAGCCTTTGAATTGACGATACATGTTTCTAAGTGGAATGCCCAATTGGGGTTCTTTAGGTGTTCAAGTTGGGTTCTGATTTTGGGGAGACCTTGATATCTCTTACAAAATTTCACCCTCCCTTTTTCTCATTTGCTAATTTAAAGCTTATTGATTATGTATGCAGGTAAAAGATGTGTTATTTCCATGGTACAATGCATACAGATTTCTCGTTGAAAATGCAAAAAGACTTGAAGTGGAGGGGCTTGCACCCTTTGTTCCTCATGACCGAGTCACTCTTCTCAACTCGCCTAATGTGCTTGATCAGTGGATCAACTCAGCCACTCAGAGTCTCGTTTATTTTGTCAGACAGGAAATGGATGCTTATCGTCTCTATACGGTAGATCTCCACATTCCTCTTTATATATACACACCTACGTCTACATGATAATAAGATGCTTATATGTAAGCACTTTTTTGCAGGTAGTTCCTTATCTTTTGAAATTCATTGACAATTTGACTAATATATATGTAAGATTCAATCGCAAGAGATTGAAAGGCCGCACTGGAGAAAACGACTGCAGAACTGCACTTTCAACTCTCTACCATGTATGCTTTTGGTTTTTCTATTTAGCTCAACACCCCTAGTTTGTTCTTCTTCTTCTTATTTTTTTATTGATAATGTATTGTAGGTGCTTTTAACTGTTTGTAAAGCAATGGCTCCATTCACACCTTTTTTCACTGAGGTTCTTTATCATAACTTACGAAAAGTAGCCAATGGATTAGAGGAAAGCATTCACTTTTGCCCTTTCCCTGAAGTGGAAGGGAAGGTACTTTCGGTTCTTGTGACAAAATACATTCTCATACCTCCTGTTTATAGCAACATAAGTTTCATTTTGTTGCATATCATAGGTAGCATCTTAATTTTGATTTTATTTGATTTATTTTTTTTAATTTTTAAATTCATCATTTCTTTGAAAACTGTACCTTATTATGGCATTTTAATGTTAGTTCATTTTAGGACATTTTACTTTGGAAAATCTAGGGACAACCCAATTACAAAAACAACACTATAATAGGTGGAAAGGAAAGTAGAATGCTACAATAAACAAATAAAATGTAAATACGTTGCTATATTTTGCATTTGATGCCTAATGATGTTTCAGGGTGGTAGCCGCATCGAACAAAGTGTTCACAGAATGATGACAATCATCGATCTTGCACGTAATGTCCGCGAGCGCCACAATAAATCTCTCAAAACTCCACTCAGGTACAGTGATTATGATTTATTACCTCTCAAAACTCCATATTACAGAATTGTCTTTTTTTTTTAAATGAGACTGAATTACATCACATGGTTTTAGAGAGATGATTGTTGTGCATCCAGATGCTGAGTTTCTTGATGACATCGCTGGCAAACTGAAAGAGGTTAGTTGTGATTGTTTTTCTTGATAGTAACCAAGTTTCATACATATTCCGCTACCTACTCCAAACATTTTTTCCACTCAACTTTTATTTCTGTTGCATTGTTATGAAATTATTTGTTTTTTTTTTTGTACATGTGGACATGTTGAAATAATTCCGTTAAATAACGACCAGAATTTAAACATTGAAGGGGATAATATCACTAAACAGTAACCAAGCTTAACAATTGTTCCGAGGATTGGGAATAACCCTTCATTTTACTTGTATATTGAAGTTTTTTGTTTCCTTCACTGATATTTGAAGTGCTTTTCATCTTTAGATTTCCATTGTTGTGATTATTTGGTTGAATTTGCATTGCAGTATGTGTTGGAGGAGGTCAATGTTATATCTGTTGTGCCCTGCAATGATCCTTTGAAGTATGCTTCTTTACGCGCTGAACCTGATTTCAGGTACTGCTAAGCCCTTTGTATTCTCTTTTTATTTTTAGCTTTTGGTCTTTTCACGATATAATTCACTTATATTGTAATTTTCTAAAAATATATATATTTTTTGTCGTAATCTTGTTTGTGCTTTAATGAGTTTTATTATGTCATTGTTATTACGATGTTCATCAGTTATAATTGAAGTTATAACTATACATTATACTTACATATAACATAAAAAATTCATTACATTCCTGCATTGCACACCGACCACCAAACATGATCATGGAATGTAATGACTTATCTCATTCATTCGTAATTCCAACCAAAAGGACCCTTAGTTTATTGTTTCAGTGGGTATGCATTTTACATCTTTAATGTATGAATCCTGTGATAGATTTAATGTATATATTTTTACAGATCAGTTTATCCAAATCTCTTAGATAGGCACGTACCGATTATTGTTGTTGGCATTTCATGTTGTAGTGTGTTGGGCAAAAGAGTGGGCAAGTCGATGCGAGTAGTTGCTGATGCAGTGAGGGCAATGTCACAGGAAGAAATTTTATCTTTTGAAAGAGCAGGAGAAATTACTATTGCTACTCACTGCTTGAAGCTCACTGATATCAAGGTAACCTGCCCTGCTGTTTCTGTTGCTACTCACTGCTGTTTCTATATCAACTTCCGTTTAGGTGATTGTTATAGCATCCTACTTTCATTTTTTCTACTTAACATTGTACTTTGATTGATAATACACTCTATTATAGTAGTGTATTAATCTTCCAAATACAATGCAATTGTGTGTATAATTGAGTAGGTATCTCAAAGTTAAAAAATTGGGTAGATTTTTCAAAGGGCAATGTCTAAATAAGAAAAACTGGAAGTACAACACTGTGTAATAGAAAGAATGAAAGTAAGATGCTAAAGTAATCAAACAAAGTTCATTGCTATTTCTTGGCATTGTAGATTGTTCGTGGATTTAAACGCCCTGATGGTCTGACCGAAGAGCAAATGGATGCATCTGGTGATGGTGAGGAAACTCAACACCATTTTGATACTACTTTTTTTTTTTTAATAATGATTTAATATTTTACTGTAACAAATAGTCTTTTAACTTTAGGTGATGTATTGGTAATATTGGACTTATGCCCTGACGACTCTTTGCTCAAAGCTGGTTTTGCACGTGAGGTATTTATTATTATCTATTAAAATTCCAACGCTTTGCCTTTTATGATGTCTGATGAAAATTGATAATTTTAGTTAAGAATCAATCTGAAGGGAAAAAAGTGCCACTCACACCATTTTATTAAAAGACAACTCCTTTCCTTTAAATGTAACTGAAAATAAAGAATTAGAAAAATTTACTTAATGAAGTAAATAAGTAATAATGTAATATAATTTATAAAAACAACTTGGTACATAATGGCTTACATTGTCAAATGCACTCTGGTTGTGTTCACAAGGTTGACTAAGGACCATGATAGTAGTGTTTGGAGCACAAGTGTGTCGATCTGATAAGAACGCCACCATCAATCTACATTTTATAAATAGTTGAAGTGATTTAATAAAAAAGTAAGCAATAGAAACATGTGGATGTGGAAATGTTTTATTTACATGGTGCCACTTTGGTTCTACCCCTTAACTGCATAGTATTTAAGACATTTGGTAGATAATTATGCATCTTAAATTATTTCTTGTTATTTAAGACGTATTTCTGATGAAAACTATTCTTGTTATAGGTTGTTAGCCGTATTCAAAAGTTACGGAAGAAGGCTGCACTCATACCCACTGATTCGGTCGAGGTCTACTTCAAGTCGTTGGATGAAGACACATCAGTCTCTGCCCAAATGTTAAAATCTCAGGTTAATCTTGATCTTTATTAATATAATAATAATAATAATAATAATAATTATTGTTATGATGATGATGATGATAATGATAATAATAACAACAATTATTTTTAATTTAATTTATACATTATTATTGTTATTGTTATTATTTTTATTTTTACTTTTAAGATGATCTGGTGATTGGTCACTAACTTTTATTGTTTATGTTAAATATCCTTTTTGCAGGAAGTGTACATCAAAGAAGCTATAGGGTCTCTTTTACTTGACCCTAGCCTGACTCCGGAACATGCAGTAAGGTTTCTTATCGAGTTATTTTTGATGATGGGGGTGTTTATGTCTTTTGCACAGACAAAAGATTGACAGCGGCTCCCTCTCTCAACTTGTTACTCTTTTTGAGTGAGACAAAAACTTGCAACTGTCTTTTTAGCACTAGCCCGGATGCATGCTAGATGCACAACAACCTTTTCTGTCTAGTTTTAAAAATGGGGCGTCTCCAACCCAACAACAAATTCACCAGTTTTGGTGCAAAGTTGTTCCAACCCAACACCATCTGTTACACCAAAAATGGTGTTATACATTTCATTAGCACCGTCCCTCTGTACAAACTGGTCCTTTAACATCTTTATATGATTATTTGTATAAATAATATTTTGTATGTAGTATTTATTACTTGTAATGCTATATTATAAATTAAATTGATATTGAATTTTATATTTTATGATTTTATGAAAATGTAGTATTTTGTAGTTGATGTTGACATTATGTCATAAAAATCTGATGCATATAAAGGTTGTTTTTGAAAATCTATAAAAGTTATATATATATATATATATATATATATATATATATATATATATTTATTTATTTATCGATATTGAAAATCTTTAAAAGTTATAAAAAAAAATATATGTTTTGTATTTTCCATAGGTGTTTGTTTGTATCCTAATATAATTTTCTTGGGAAATTACAGGTAATAATTGCTGAGGAGACGCACCACAACATTTTGAATTGCGACTTTCAAATAACTTTGTCAAGACAAACATTAATGTTTAATGATAACGCAATCCTTCAATTATATACAGGTCACCTCTTGCTCCTTTCTTTTATGAACTTCGTAATTAACTAATATTTTTAAATGTAAGTACTCTATATATGATTATTAAAATAAATAGGTTAAGGTTGTGTCTTTAGCTCCTATGATGCTTGTTACTCTTGCCCATTATTATATGCATATTGAAATTCTGTTGTGGGCAGGTAATGCAAAATATGCACATGCATTGAAGGTATATTTGTTATCGAGGGACCACTCCATTCTGAAATCAGAATTTCGACTGGGAAATGGCAAGGTTTTGTTAAAAAACGTGTCTTTTTATTCATTTTTTTCTTCCCTCAAATCTCATAGCGATTAATCAGTTATCTTTGTTGCAGATTAAAGTGGATTGCATTGAAACTCTGCCTGATGTTGATGTGGTCTTGGGAGAACATGTGTTCTTGACGGTTGGGGATTATTACTCTGCGACCACCAATCACAATTCTTAACCACAAATTCTTTTAACAAATAACTGTAATTATTATGTTACGAGGTTATTAAATTAAACATGTCTTTCTGATGAAAACGGAACAAGGAAGTTAACTTATTAATTATTATAACCTGTTGGTGTTATTTATGTTGATGCTAGTGTTTTTGTTGATTTGAAACCTTTTTGTTCAGATTATACACAATGTTTCATTTTGGGTAACATACCCAAGACTAAAGCAGTCAAAAACTGATCTATGCAACCTGGCAATCCTGAACCTATAACCTTCAGGGGAATTCCTGCACCACTACTCCGATCTAGGGATGAGTATACAACTTGTCGGACCGGAAAAACACCGGGACCAGACCCGGACCCGGACCATATATTCATATTAGCGGGCTGGTTTTCGGGTTTTGTTTTTGCCATAACCGGCTTTGTACTGGACCGACCCGGAATATGGGATTTAACCCGGACCAGAACGGAAAACATTCTCACTTTAATTTATTTTATAGATGTTAGCATAAGTTTAAAATATATAGATAATGATATTAAGTTATTAATTAATGTTATATTACAAGATTTCTAAAATATAAAATCCAAGATCATCGGAAATAATTTGGCCAGCCAAACATTTGTAATGTATAATATTGGTGCACAATTACACAAATAGGATTATGTAAGTTATGTCTTTAATTAAAGAATTTTACAAGAAGTCTATGCATTTGTTGTAATGTCTGATTACTTATGTGTGATACAAGATTATATTACATCTAAAGTAGTTATATTTTATAAAAATCTACAAACATTTATAAATACATTCTTTAATATGCTAATCCAATAATTCTATTCAAATAGCAAAATTATATCCATAAAACCAAAAGTAATAGACTAATAGGTATCATTGTTATATATAATACTTGTATATAGGGCCAAAAAAACTAATGTATACAAAACAAAGTTTAGTACTCAGTAGGGATGAACATATGGACCGGGGAACCGGTACCGGAACCCGTCGGGCCGGGACCGATACTATAATGTTGTCAGTTTTTGGAACCGGTAAGAATGGGTCATTGAAACCGGCCCACAACCGGGAACCGGACCGAAAAACCTTTAAAAAAAACCCACGGCTTTTGCGGTTTGGATTTTTGAATTGGACGTCAAAAAAAAAAAGCAACACGAAGCTTTAAATATCTTCTTTAAACTTCAACTTAATATGTATTAAGAAAACATATCGATTAAATATCTTCTT